ACTGCTCATCCGCAAGCTGCCCTTCCAACGCCTCGTCCGCGAAATCGCTCAGGACTTCAAGACTGATCTGCGCTTCCAGTCTTCTGCTGTGATGGCCCTCCAGGAAGCTTCTGAAGCCTACCTTGTCGGTCTCTTCGAGGACACCAACCTGTGTGCCATTCACGCCAAGCGTGTCACCATCATGCCAAAGGACATTCAGCTTGCTCGCCGTATCCGTGGAGAACGTGCATAAGTGCCAGCCTGTGCTGACCAAATTTAACCCAACGGCCCTCTTTAGGGCCACAAGTGGTCTTATGTAATCAAAAAGTTTGTATTTGTGTGAATAAAAAGAGTGTAAAATACTGGTGCTGTATCTGATGATCATAAAAAAGGTTTTGGTAAAGAGTTCACATGTGGAAGTTAAATCGAAAGGTGTATTGTAAATATCAACACAAATTTGTATAGTTAGAAAGCTTACACGTAATCATTGCACTCAACGGTCCTGGTTGTCCCATCCTTTACTTTTTCGACTTTAGCGGTTATACCAAGTGCTTGACAAAAAGGTTAGTTCGCGTCAAAATAATGATAGCGTGCCTTTTGAAAATAAGATTGATCACGGTAGTCCAAATCTATTCTAATTGTGCATCAAACATTTTGTGAGTTTGCTTAAAACAAAATATGGAGTACAAAATTGCGCATTGGTATACCAAACCTTTCTTGTGATTTGAACCCAGCACGGAATGTTAAGATGCAACAATTAGATACATTGCGAGGGGATCATCATGTCTCACAACTACTATATGATAATAAGAGCTGGAACAGCAAAAATTCTAAATTAGATGAATTAATATAAAGGATGTTTCAAAAAAAACCCTGTTCACTGTTTGACGTTAATGACTCTTTCATCTCCGAGTCGTTTTTGGAACTTATGTTGGTTCATTATCTTTGAATGAATCCTCCATCTCCTTCCATTACCTCAGGATTACGGTATTGATTTGTATGTTGCTCTAACGCTGGAGCGAGCACTACTGATATTGGGTCACAGATAGTTTTATTAATGCTGACCACATGTTGGTGGGATTTTTTGGTATTTGAACCCTATTATGTACAATACCGCAAGGGTTTGTATCGAGATTATGGAGCTTTACGCCAACCTAGAGCACGACTTTAGACTCTTGTGATGTCGTAATGCAAAGATGTCAAAGCCTGAGCTATGAGGAAACCTAAATTCAGGCTGTCCTTCTAAATAAATTCTAAAAGCTATTCTTGATCAAAACGGTCAATTTTTTTGGACACACTGTATTTCAACTTTCATTTAACTATTCAGTCAAGGCGTCGTCTTCGATAAGATCTGCAGCAGTTCCTCCAGTGACCTTGCTCTGCTACGCTTATCATTACGGCTACACTTGTTGCTTCTCACATTAAGAGTTGGCGCCATAATTCAAAGACCCTATGTATTCCCCGAGATGCCCCACTGTGCAAATAAATTATCGGAGCAGATGATATGAGTGCATGCTCTCTTGTACGGGTATTACAGCATGGCAAGGGGCTAACGCTAAATAATGGAAACATTCATTGAAAACTTTTTCCTGCCCTTTTGATGGAAATTCGGGGAAAATTGGCGTGCAGTTGGCATTCGCTATGCAAATGTAGCTGAAGCGATCATGTCGGAAAAAACTTAGATACATTTGTAAACACTGTGAAAATCTTCATCGCCTCAACAGAAGTATCAAAAGTTTACTTTTTTTCAAAATCATCAAAGTGTAAATCGGAAAACACAATATACACTTTGGAGTTGCAATCGTTGAATTATTTGAACACCACTATCCATGTTAAGTACTATTGTTAAAGGATTTACAGCTCATTTTTAAATACAAAGAAAGACACTGAAAGGAAAACAGAGTAATTCAAAACTTGAACCTGTGTTTTA